GATGAAATTCATTTCATCAAAATTTTCATCAAAATCACATTAGAAGCCGCCGATACCCAATCGAATGCTCACTGGGTAAACAACTTTAGCCTACGTTCGTGCGAATGTTTATCAACTACTTCATCACTCTATGTATGTGCATTAGGGTGATCGCATATGGAGACTCAGAAAATGAAAATTGATTTGTTTTTTCATCTAATGCCCAAAATCGATACTACTATAGTCGAAGATATCATATATAAGTTTTGGTCCCGATTGGAGTCGGTTAAGGCGTGTCGCACAGGGGTCAAAGTTCAGGTTACCATATGAAGACGTCTTAACCGACTCTAATCGGAACCAATATTTATATGTGATATCTGCGACCGTATTTTTACCGATTGAGTTTGATTTTAAGGACCACCCTAATGTACATATCACTAACACGTTTACTGTGTTGTAGTACAATTGCAGCTGCAACATCAAAAATGAAATGCCACAAAAGCAAAGTAGCCAACTGGCATTAGTCAGTGGACACTTGGCTTACCATCTCTCGTCATCGTCAACATTATCAATAGCATCATAAGAGGTACATATGTATGTATGAACGTTGATCGCCAGCAGCGGCAACAGTTTACCAGCAACAACACAAAGCTCTGTATGCAGCATTGAGTGTAAACAACTAAACCAAAACAACAACAACAATGCCAGCAACATCAACTTATGTGTGAAATTAGCCATCAACCGCGACAGCCACACAAATGAGAGTGGAAATGTTGTGATGTGGTGGCGATGCTGCTAGCTGCTGCTACTCTGCTAGTGCTGCTGTTAAGGCAGCTGATTCCAGTGTTTTCTTTCTGTATCTATGTATCTACCTTTTTGTTGTTTGATAGCTGTCACACTTACTTGCAATTTAATAATTTTTCCACACTCGTTGCGTTTTTTCTCTTCACATTTTTTTAAAATATTTTTAAATGTAGAAGCGAAGCGCATTTTGTCAGGCTGCCAGCAAGGGGAGTAGAGTGCTCGCCTATTACCCTCCACTCAATGCTGCTTGTTGATTGCTGGCCTACTATGTACCTATGTAGGTACCTGCATGACAGAGTGACTGGCTAATTATTGTTATTGTTACTGCTGGTGTATGTTTTTGGTTTTTCTTCAAAAGCAGCATTTTCTTGTCTTTACTCTTTTATTTAGTATTTGCCTTTAGTGGTATTTAAAACGCGTATTCATGCCATTTTTACTCCATGGTATTTCAACTATTCGCTTTGGGTTGAAGGTGCCGCACACTAAAAGTTCACCGTGACGTATACGTAACCTTCACTAAATGCCACTTTAGGCGCATGCTCATGTGTTTGTGTGCGTGTGTTTCAAATAGTTGAATTTATAAGTGCTCATATATCGTTCGTCTGCCTACAACATAAATACATATGCACTTATACACCACTATGCTGAGCCAATTATTATTATTGTCATGCGCTTGTTTCTTGGCGTCTTGGCGCTTTGACGCTTCTCATGCTGCCGGCGGCTTTAAGCGATTGCCGATTATATGCATTGCTGCCAACTGAAATTTGATACTTTTAAATACTTAAGTACGAGTATGTATGTAGTATGCAAGGTAGGCTGGTAGAAGAAAGTTTCGAGCTGTAAAAGAGGGAAATATGGCCAGTATCGGGTGGGCGGGCAGGCACGCCAATGGATGGTTAGGTTGCACAAATATTTGTGTTGAATAGTTGTAATTTTTTTTTTCTAGTTATGCGTTGCACTTATACAAAATTTTTATGTGAAATATCTTTGGGTTTTGTAGGGCTAACTGTAATGTAATAATGGAATTCAAACCATTAAGCGCCGTTTTCACAGTGGGGACTTAACTCACATTTGGCAGTTAACTTACGATTTTTCTTATGAAAAGCTATTTGTGCATCTAGCTAACTGCCGAATGTAAGTTAAGGCTATAAGTTTACAGTTCTGTAGAAAATTAAAGGCTTAGAACGATATTCGTAAATGCGTACAAAATATCGACTAATGAAAAACTTATTGTGGAAAAGTAACAATAATTTGAAAAAATTGTAGAAGTGATAGCTATTTCGGAAATCACCACATTTCCTCATCAGACTTCTTTCAGTAGGATTCAAACCGATGATCCCACTGACTCAGCCAGTTGCCTACGCACTGTGCTAAGTTCGGCTTGTTGTTCTGATTGTATATGTAGCCTTATTATTTTTATTATTTATACACTCATCGATTATTATCGATAATTTTGTAAATATCTTTTATCAGCTTTATTGTTTTTATCATTTTTTTTATTTTGAACAAAGTTTTTATTATTTTTGATTGATCTAATTTATTTTTCATATCGATAAAAAAATGTATTTTTTATAATTATTGTCTTATTAAATCGTGCGTATGCATGTATGCATATCGATCGATTTTTTTAAACCTTTTTTTATCGATATCTTTTATCGTATTTTTTTATTTTGTATCGATAGTTTTGTCGATAGAGAAGTCTAATATTTTATCAGCAATGATATCGATAAATATGCATGTCAAAAATTATCGATAACAATAAAGATGCCGATAAGATTATCGCCAAAAATTGTATTGATGAATAACCCAAGAAATATACGGGGTGTCTTAGCTCAGCCGTTTACCTCCGGTCTTAAGCGGAAGTCGGTAATACAAGCAAAAGATAGAGCATCGCCGACTTGGTAATTCATATTTTTTTTCTTTGCCAATAAAAAATTTTTTACTCATTTCAGAAGTCCTGTAGCTCGTTTCTTTAACAATTCTCTACCAAGGCGAAGTGAGATATGAATTCGCTGCCCTGTTCTGTAGAGAATACGTATATTCTCTACCAGTAAAGAAATACTGCTTTCACTTCCTCTACTTGTGGCGCCAGTCAAGTGGATAGTTGGGCTAACCTTCTGGCCTCCGATTTACTGGTGCTTCTCCTGCTCCTGAGAGTTTTCTATCATAAATACTAAGCTCTTTGTGTTTGCCGTAAGATATCCAAGTTGGCCATCTCAAGGTTCAGATTCACTGGATTGCCTTGTGGTCTTTTGGTTCGAAATCCGGTTCGTCCATTGCAATGGCATTAAGGTGGGCTCAGTACATTCACCATTTAGATTCGCATTCATTTCGTCCGCTTCGATATTGTTTTTAACCGACTTCCAAAAAAGGAGGAGGTTATCAGTTCGTCGGAATATTTTTTTTTTTTTTTTTTTTTAATGTATGTTACCGCATAACTTTGGACCACGTCAACCGATTTCGATAATTTTTGCATCGGAAAGGTAGTGTCTCAGAGGTGGTCCCATACTAATCTGGTTGAGATCCGATCAGTGGATCATGAGATATATATATATATATATGTGACCTGGTCTACGGTGTCAAAAAATCAATTTTCACTTTTTGGTTGATTCGGATGGAAGATGAGATGCTTTTTCACGTGGTGAAAAGCAGAAAATCCTAACTTGCTTAGAAGTGTACTAAAAATGTAGAAACAGAAACAGTAAACGTCACTTCTTCAGTGTTGCTTTTTTAAATGTTCCACACTAGCAACTTACACGATGAACTATAATAATATTCCGACCAACAACAACACTTACTTGACCAACAACAACTCTTACTGGACCAACAACAACACTTACTGGACGTCAGGCGCGGAGAACAATTAACGAGATAATGAGAAACTGACGAAACGAGTTGCTTACTTTTAACAGCTTTTTCACAGAAAACTAGTTTTCGCACGTAAGCTCCCTTTTCGTAGACCAGGTCACATATTTTTTTATATGGGAGTTGAAGTCGGTTTTTTTTTTGCTAAAAATTACTTGTTTATTACTCCGATCTTCATTCATTTGACGAGCTCGTTGTACATTAGGTACTACATTGTCTACTCCGACCGGCGCCCTCTAGCAGTAGGAGCATAATTATTTTTGTTGTTTTAAATTACATATGTAAGTGCCTTCCATAAGTATCTCGTGACTAATGGGGGAAGATAGCAGTCATCCGAGGCAGAGACCTGTTACCCCGGGAAACCAGCCGGCGCTACGTGAATGGAGCTAACCTTTAGAGGGTAAACTAGCCCAGTGCCATTCAGCCCGCAGGCACAACGACTTACAGGTTTTTCTCTAGATCCGCAGAGTGTAACTCTTCGCTACGTCTTCGGTCGTGAGCCTGTTATCAGCCCCTTGATTCGAAGCGCATACGATGGAAACTATAGGCACCCTAACCTGACCCCCTTATTACCGTATTTAGATCTTCCTTCTCTGTGACCGAAGTTGAGTGGTACAGGTGAGAACGTGATTCTGCTCTCGCTTTACATTTCGACTGTAAGCTTGTCAGGTTGGGCTTGCTTTGAGCTGTTCGGTCATGTAGTGACTACGATTGCCAACCCATCGCTCTTGATTAGGAAATAGTTGATAGTTAAGTTGAGAAATAGTTTTCCTGTCGCCTTCGAATTTTCAGAAATTTTCACCTCTACACATCTTTTCACTTCAGCGGTCGCAAATCCGCTACATTGATGCCAGAGTGTTTCGTCGGAAACCGGTTAGTTGGTTTGGCATTAACACGCCGTCCGGTAGTACGAAGGCGATTCAGCCGTTTAAACATGCATGCGTTTCCCTTTGAAGATGAATCCAAGGTTAGGGGTTCGGTTTGAGGTTTTTTCCACCTCTGTCAACAAGTTCTTTTTAATTTTCCTTATTTACTCGTCGTTTAAATTGATTTCTGGGTACCTGTCGTGAATGATAGCCATCTTCCAAGCTGCCTGTAGGACATCTGGTTTGATATGAAAATTCGCTCAACTGTCTCGAGTAGAAACTGTTCTTCTTTTCCATATTTCTCACGTTGCTTGGTTTGGTCAACAGCTGGTGGGTGTACTTGAGTTGCTGGCTTTCGCCTT